AATTCGGTCACGTCATGGTGGCAAAATACTCCAGTGCCAGCCGCCTACTAAGTTATGAGAATATACACAACAAAAAACAAGATATAATATAAGTATAATAATATTAAGGGTTATTTATTTTTTATCTTTACAATTTGTGGCAGATGAACGGTATGATACTAATAATTGGACAAAGTCACACTATTTGTTTTTTCAGGAAAAAGATTATGAAACTCATTTTTTGACTTTCTATATCTTACAATTAACGACACACGCCTAGCACGGGTGCATTACAAATCTTTGAATTTCTCAGGAATTCTGTACTGTAATACGAAAGTATTACACACTTAAACTTATTCTTGAATTACTTTTTCTATTGGTGTAAACTGTGGTTTCGTATAGTTTAAAAGATCTAAGGCTGTTTGTTGGCTTTTGTTTAAAAAACTAGGTAAAAAACTGGTAAAGTAAAGCTTGTAGTCTAACTGCCATGCTTTCAGTGTGTATATAGCTCAATAAGGAAATACACTATCTATATGTTACGGTTTCTTTGAGCGGTTTTCTTTGTGGTTTACCGACTTAATATTAATTTATGAAAAAATGCATTTTTTCATAAGTGATTTATTTTTTATTCAATGAACATCTTTTCTACTATTATTATTATAGGGTATTAATTATATATATTAGTTACACTATATGTCATGTATGTACGCTGCTACAACTTGTGCAGATTATTTCCTTTTAGAAGTCAGAATTGTAAATAAATTAAGAAACAGAAATTACCATAATTTTAATAATAATTTGTCAAGCAAGAACATCAGTTGAAAATTTTAGTGATCCAGCTGATCAAGAAAAAGAGAATAAGAACATCTGTTGTATCTAAATTATTAAGTATAATTTACAAGTATGTTGGCTTATATTACAGTACATTGTCGCAGATGAATTATTTCAAATTATGTCTGTATTTGTCATTTATAAAAATTATCCAAAATGTTTATATGCTTCTATATTGTTTTATGGAATTTGTAGGGAGTTTAGAACAGAAATAGGTATATTTCCTGTGATTGTATATCTATTAGGTAATTACTTTTTTTCAATTACATATCAATTTGAGTAGGTACTGGTTTACGTGTTTAATATATATAATTTTTATAAAGAATTTAAACAGAAAAATGTCGCAAACTGGGTTGTAGTAGTTTATAGTTCATCTGTCAGGTAGTGTTAGGTATAGGAAGGTTTATTTGATAATCGAACAGCGTATAAGCAAGGCCCAAGGTGTGTCCAAGGGTCATAATTTAGGTAGGTTTATGTATAGGTAATGACCGGGGGTAAGCACGAGTGCCAAATGACAATGGTTTGTGGATACGTTACCGAATAAATTAGACATAGTATGTGATATTTGTTGTAGTGTTTCCATTTGTTATTTATTACAATAATATATAATACCAATGTCATTGTAAGTAATTGTAATCATTACTTAATCAAAACTAAAAGTAGTAGGTAGTTTTATTATTTGCTTACATACGTATTACACTTCCATGAAGACTCCCTTTCTATTATCAAGCCCGACGCATTATATTATAAGACAGTTGATAATATACTTAATTATATATATCTAGTAATAGACCGGTGTTGTTTTAATTCAGCTAACAACCCCCTAATGTATTCCGCATTGTAATTTAACAAGAAAGTTTGCGTGATAGTCAGGTGGCGTGTATTCAAGTTCTAAACTACTTTCTCACTATACTATATAAAATTAATTCATTATTACACATGAAAGTACGGTTAGTAACTTGGTAGCACTAATACATTTTTGTAGTTTTTGATAAAAATCTATCTTAATACTTGATCCCACAATCTACAGATACGATAAATAGAAAACATGCGATCTTTTCTGGCATACTTCTACTTCTACATTTATACAAATTAAACAATAAATGTGGATATTTGTTTATTTGGATGGGTTTCACTTAATCATGGTAAATGGATACTATACGGATTCGAATATTTATCTTAGGCCAAAAAAGTATGTGTTATAGGATACTATTTTCGTGAATATATGTAGGCACTACGAAACGAGTAGGCAAGACATGGTATCTTTTTCGTTACATTGATTTCACAGACACATAGGTACTATGATGGATGATAGGTACCACTACATAAGTAGGTACTTTATATATATTTATAATATGGAAGATACGTAGGTCAATTAAGACGACGCCGCGACGCATCGCAAATATTGACGTTAGTAATCTTAATTTTTCTTAGAAATGACAAACCATCGGTTCTGATATTTATGTATTTCTTTTTTCATATTTTTAACATAATTTTAATGATTCTAGTTACATTATTGATTAACTTTTGTAGCAGATAAAAAAATGTCAAGGGAAGGTTTTATAAAACATGATGGAACAAACACGGAATAATTAAAATGGAGTGATTTAAGACAAAAACTTTCCAGTACATTACACTAAGTACACACTTAAAAAGAGTAATTCAGATGCATATAATAACAAATAGTTTTTATTTTAAAGATAAACTGGTTTGGCGCATAAGACCCCAAACTCCAGCTCTGAAGTTATAATCAATACGAAGAGAGAAAATATTTAGAATGATGAGTATCAGGAGACAATCACAGCATTGAACTAACAAGAAATCACATTTGCTGGAACGAATGCCAAATTACTTGGAGCGCTACCAATCCACAAGTTCCATAATAAGTGTATAGCTATCTAGACATCTGTACTGAAAACGCGAAAATACATTATAAATTACAAAAAAACCAGAAATCTTCTGAGTAGGAAACTTTTTACTTTATTTGAAACTTGGTTAAAAATATTATAGTGGTACAATACGCATTAAAAAAATTCTGTAATTTTGTTCTTAATTATCTTTGTTGATCAGTTTTAAATAAGTTTTCCATATTGGGAGATAGAATAGAAAAATTACGTGTGTGTCATTATAATCTAACTCTAAAGCGTCTACCTGTAAATACATATTATATATATTATCCATTGTAGCGTATGTGCCTTTTTAAATACTTTCTGATAGGTATGATCATCCGCATTTTTAACTCTTGCTGTTCTAGATTCATTTATATTAGCTTTAATACTGACATCTGGTTTAAATGCATCATAATGAATCGTCCTTCTATCTGTTTAGCATTATTAATATGATAGATATGGGTTTAACTGACTATTACTTCAGTAAACAGGTTTATAAGCCTGGACAGTTTTTGATAACGTGGAGAAGGGGATTATTAATACTAGGCACTAGTGACCCCCATTGCAAACAGTTACTATGTCGGGTCAACCTCCACGCGGTGTCCCTTGAAAACCATCATGTTAATTCCTGTGGAATTAACCACGATAGGCTGACTGATCGGACCTCATGCTCATCTTATCATCGTTCACTGGTGACCCTCCAGTGTATACTGTTAGCGAAAACGAGTGCACCACTCCATAAAAAAATAATACTTTTATCTTTTACCTAAATTTACATTATCCATTATTCTCCCATTGTTGAGGCCGTTCTCGTAAGAGGAGGATGTATTCAACATTTGCCTAGTTTGTTAGACGGCTTTTAATACTTCATTATAACAATGAATACGTTGGGTATATCAAAGTCATTGCACATTGATAAAACACGTTATCAGTGCGCTAAAATGAGAATGAATCATAGATTATAAACAAAATATATCAGGCGACTAATTTTATCCAATCATTGAGTACTTAAATATTTACATGATCCCTCCATGTTGTTAAAAAAAATGTTAGGGGCGATTTTTCGCAGGATTTGTAAGCAAATTCTAGTGGGTGGGGAGGAATATAGTAAAGAAAACATAGGTCACGTATTTAATATATAGCACAGAATACTTGTGACTGCATATCGAAATACATATAATAAAATGCGTGGTACAAGGTATTTATAATAAGGCGTGGTAGGTATATAGATTACCTAGGTATTATTGTATCACGTTGTGGATAATGTGGAATTACATTGTTAATATTTTAGAAATAAAAAATCTATTAAACAGTGGACCATGACTAGAAAATTGACAATATATGTACGTATATTGAAAAACTATGTCTAGCGCGACGCCCCGCTTTGTCAGTAGCTGACAACCATCTTGTCTTGATATATTTTTTTGCGTTATGTATACATAACCTATCATTTATCTGTGATGTAATTACTTGCCTGTAAGCTTTAGAACCATTGTAGTGATAGGATATCAGGAAAATATTTATGTATTTTTATTTTCAGGTAGGTAGTGCTTCCTTCTTATAATGGGTACCTAAAATCGACATTCCTTACAATAATATATCACGACTAATATCCAAGATGGGCAAGTCGCAGGTAGTGTCATCTGTCGACATCGAGGGGAACGCAACACTTGAAAGTCCTTCGTCCGTTGGTTATTTGAATTCAATGTGGCAGGGAGTGAGCTTACCGGTGTCTCTCCGGATTACTATGGATTAATATTCGGTGTTTCCATTACCGAAAAGTCTATTAGAATTTCAAATTAGCAGTTTAGAAGTCAGGACCTTTGGGTCGAAGTGGGGCAGTAAATGATTAGGCCAGACGCTGTCAATCGATGATTATAATAAATTAGAACTGCGATGTCTGTCCAAACAGGCGACAATCAGTAACAGTTGTCAGAAGATTATAAAATTTATAAGATAAATACATATATGACGCATACTATGTGAACTTTGCTAGCTACTATTGTAGCCATTTACTTATAATGTAGCATAAGTACACTAACAGTGGAAGCCGTAATGAGGGAAGGTCAAACACAATACTCTACTTCCAATTAGAGGATTAACCGTATGTTAACTGACAAAGGCATAATGGTTACTAAAAGGAGTTACTTATTTTGCCATAATGCAGTACTTTTTCTTTGTTATCAAAAGTGAAATATACTAACTAAGGAACACATTTAAAACAGTTTAATATGGTATTATTGTTAAATCAAGAGCGATTCAGGGCGGACATGTCATATATTGCAATAATGAAAGGTATACCTTTTATCCGGCGAGCCCTGTCTGCGAACGCCGGCGTCCGTGGCGCTTTGCCCCCACAGGTGGAGTGTTGAGTACTAGGGTGTTAGAAGCGCCAAGGAGGGCTCCTGGCCGCTAGGGGCCGGCGTTGCTGCGCGTAGCGAGCGATGGGCGCGCGTGTGCCTTGGGGTCGATTTGCCGGCGGAGTGGTCGCCTGGCTGGTATGGTGACAGCCGGCGAGGGTGCGCGCGCCTGCACCACCACGCATGCGCCCCGTTCCACCGCAAGTAACTCAGGGATACGCAGCGTCACTACATGTGCTATACTGTGCATTTACATAAACAGAGGTGAGCAATGATATTCCAGCAATTATTTTTATGTACTTCAATTGTCTACATTTTTATTTAATAACAATGTAGACAATTGAAAAAGTTAAAAGTTAATAAGTATCTATAAAATATTGTCCGAGATATGGTACAACGTATCTACGCATTGGCTATTAATTACTTTGGTACTTATTTTTTGGATGTGTAATCAATTAAATATTTAAATTTTGAGGTGATATGTTTTTGTATTTCATAAAGTGGTGTTATTCATAACTCTACACAAAAGTTCAAAGGTTTTCTAAATACAATTTAAATATAGGGCGTAGCGTGTGGGGTGCCGAATCAGCTGTTCTGTGTAGGTTATCGTTAGGGTGTTATCGATTGGTGCCACTTTCTCCGCTGGGCGCGAAGTTCTTTGTTTTGGCGACGATCCAGTCATGGCGTCGACTCTGTTACTAAGCATATGTAGGCAGTAATGTGGGAGTATAATTAAGTTTTTTCGCATTTTATTAATTAACCTAAATATTTTTAGATTGTGGAAATAATAATGCTTATTTATTCATTATTCATATTTGTGATCGATTTTAAGGCCTTTTGAATAAGAGATCCCGTTACATCACAGGATGTCTGAAATACAAAGCAAGATATATGAATGAAATAAAGTAAAATATAGAATCGAAATAAAAAAGTAAATATACTGTTACTATTGTCGCAATGTTAGCAGATCCTGCCCCATCTCTGTCTTACAAGCGGTAAAAGTACGCACTCGGTTCCAGTGCCGTCGGTCGCCCTCTTTCTGTGTGGCTCCTAAAAACTGGAATCAATGCCAGTTTTAATCTTAACTTAATGATGCAGCATTAAAGGCCCGCACCAGAAAGAAAACTATTCACTAATAAATATCAATTGTATCTATACACAGAAACAATAATTGGTAATTTCTTGAATCGTCGATAAGCGTGTTTGTCAGTTATTTGCATATGAACAATGTTTGAAAACCACTGCTGTAAAGACAAGTTAATACATTCCAGACCTTGTAACCAAAAATTCCGATCGAGACTGTAAGAACCCGATATTGATGTTATGATTTAGCGTAAAGTTAAACCTGAAATTTTACTTTATCTTATACCTATATAAAATTCTCGTGTGACAATGTTAGTTACCATACTCCACAGAAACGGCTTGACCGAATTTTATGAATTTTTATATGCATATATTCAGTAGGTCTGAGAATCCTACCTATTTTTCATACACCTAAATAATAAGGATTTTTCACCCTTAACCTTTTTTGTATTTCTTGGATTTTTTATAATGTGACATTAAAATACACATACAACCCTAAATTTTCACCCTTCTACCATCAACCCCTATTTGTTATAGTGATTTTAATTTATATGGCAAAACAAAGTTTGCGGGGCCAGCTATGCATCAACATGCATAAAATTGTTGTATTGTTAGTACCTAACTAAAGCTTTAGGTGTAGACCACATTCAAACTCACGGCCTTCCGCTACCGTGTAATTTGTTATAAATTATTACATTTAGCTCAATGTAAGGTTACATGCAGTGCAGAGTGCAATTTGCCTGTCCAGTTTTTGTTTTATGTCTACTGCATACTGCCGAATTAGGTCAAGGACTATGCGATCTGCAGTGTATAATCCTAACACGAACTATGTTGGTGGCGCATAGGTACCTATATCATACGAGTAGATTAAAAATTCGAGGTGAAAATTAGTTGCATGCGCCATTGTTTGCTATCAGAGGTTGTTATAAACGTAAAGAATAACACAATTGAAAAAAAAATGGGAAGTATAAGTATGTAGGTACTTGCCTACAAATGAATAAATAAATGGCCATTTGCCACAGTTGCCACAGGCACTATTACATCAATTGGAAATTATAAGAACTATAAATAAGAATTTAATGCAATTAATCAGTTATTTGTATTGAGGATGAGGGATTTTTAGTAATTGGTGCCATTCTTTGTTATAGACCTCTTAGCCCACGCGGTTCCTCTGGAAATTTTAGTGAAAACTAACTCTCTATACGGAATTCACCACTTTGAATTAGTAGGCGAAATAATAGCTTAAACCGAGATGAAGCCTGCGGTACAACGTCTATAGCTCGAGTCGACGCTGCCGGAGGTGCGGTAGAATTCAATTGCGACCCCGTGACTCCGTCCATAGCAACTCGGAGGTACACCGTGCGTTTTTTAGTACGGTAAGAACACATTCCTCACCGGCACCTCACGATAGTCTTTTTTAGGAAAAAAGAAATGAATAGACGCTGTTAGCGTAGGTGAGTGCATAATTCCACAATCATGCATTAAAAAGTTTTTTTTATTGCAGGTGCAGTTAGTATTTCGTGGGCAAGATGATAGTGGGAAAAACGAGAAGTGTCAGAAATAGTTTATAACTTCGTAGTCGTAACTTCTTTTTGTGTACCTATTATTATCTGTTATTTGCATATGAAATCTATAGATGACTTTTCTACAACATATTAAAGGTTTGCATAATTTAAAATATTAACTAATAGTTACGGCAAATACAGTAGGTAAGTAGTAGGTAGTAATAATTAAGCACAATAATTTACGTGCTTATTGTTCGCCGAGCTTGTTTCAATCTAACTAGTCAGAGCGCGAGACTACCACAATGAAATTGATGATTTATCGATATTTTTTATCACTGGAGCTATAACCAGAAATTTAAATTGATAAATAATTTTTAGATGTAACGTAAATTTATGGTTATTGGCCTTTAAATTTGTATAGATAAATTAATTTATATGGCATATAGACTACGATACTATCTCCTAAAATCGAGAAATAAGAAAATCAGAAGAGAGACGTAAATACCTCGGACTGAAAAACCATTAGTGGTTGTTCAAAACAATAATTTACATAAGCTTAAACCTTCTTCACGTTTACGTAATTTTCCTTAGTACACCCTAGTAAGTACTTCATACTTCATACCATATGAGTACAAAAAAAAACAAGAATGTTAACTACGACATGTAAATGTCATAATGACAGACGACAGTGGCAAATGTGACATTAGTGATCAGTGACAGTCCTAATAAGTATTTGTTTATTGTATTTTTGATTGAATTTTGTGTTTTCATTTTCAATTTTTCAGTCTGAAATTAGGTTAATTTGTAATACGTTATTTAGATATTTTGTGAAGGCTAGCTACTAACGAGTATAATTAGGTTAAATTAGAACTTCATAATTTTTTAGCTATTTTTGTTTAGTAATTTCCTTCTGCAAATTTGTTATTTAAAATTTGGAATAAAATATTTAGTTTTATATTCCGAGATTAAATTTCTTACCAATATTACCTGCTTTTCACAGACCGCATCAAAAGATTAAGAATGGCAAGATTTCGGTTTGGAAGACAGCACGAAGGTTATCGCTTGATATCCAACGACGACAGCGGTTTCTCTGATGCCCAGTTTGAGGAACCTGTACCAAAAATTCCTTGGAAAGCCATTACATTAGCTGTATTCTTGTTTGTTATTGGCACAATTTTACTTATATCAGGTAGTTTAATAGTTTCAGGACATATAGACACTAAATATTCAGACCGATTATGGCCAATGATAGTTTTAGGTGCAATAATGTTCCTCCCTGGAGCATATCATATTAGAATAGCTTATTATGCTTATAAGGAATATCCAGGGTACAGCTTTACTGACATTCCCGAGTTTGAATAGATGTAGGTTAGTAGTTAATTTTGATTAACAATTTGAATAATGTAATTTTTATGAAATTAATTTTTACTGCACTATCAGTGGCAAGGTGTAGGAACATGATAACTTTAATTATAGGTTTTCTACTTTTGTCTCAAATGCTTCACATATAAATTCTAATTTTTATGCTTTAAAACAATGACAATGAATAAAACCTATCTCAAGTTCTTCCTGCCAACCATGGACATAAATATATCCTTAGATATGGAATTTTTATATGATATTAACATATTTGAAATTGCCTTATGTAATATAGAATGTCTGTTGTTTTTAGTGCTGAAGTACTAGACTAATGAACGATTGGATGTCAATCAATTTCCACCTACCATAGTTATATTTATTACATTTTTAGAGTATATGGGCAGATATTTGTATACTTTGTTTATTTTATCTGTATGCCAGAATGTATATTTGTTTTAATACAGGCAAACTTGCAATGGAAACAAGTACCATTGATTTTGCCATTTCAGAGTTAAGCCATCTAGCACCAAGCTAAAATATATTACTTGCATAAATCAATTAATTTAATATGTTCTTATTAAAAATATTTATTCATCAGTCCCTAACTGGTGTGTATGCTGATGCATAATTGTGTGTGCATCCACTTCCATAACTCATCTGATGATGAGTCATGGAAGTGGATGGAATATGAGTGAATGTAAGGATAAATGCCTATGGCATTTGATTCTTTTTATCTCTAAAAACTATTGATGTAAAGATATTGTTTTGTTACAATTTGTCTTATATATATCAGGAAATGTTTCCATAAATAATGCTGTTTCATTATATGTAAAAAGAATAAAGCAATTAAACATACATTTTCTAGTTTTACTTATTAATACTTAACATTTCTTTGATTTTATTTTATGTATAGGTATAAAAACAAAATATCGAATAATATTGAAGGATTCAATATGTATTTTTGTTGTTTGTTTAAAAACTAACTCAACTGCATCAATAGATAATTGAGGTGAACCTCCTTCTTTGAAGTTATTATTTCCATACTTGGAGTTAGAGATATAAGTTGACAGTTTTTTATGTTATTCATATATACTTAAGCAACCAATCCAATTATAGTAGACAATGATCGCGGATTAATCGGAAACAAAAAATATATATATACTTTATACTTTTAAGGTCTTGATGTCGAATCAAAATTGACATGAATTAATTAAAAATATGACATGTACGTTTTTGAAGTAGAAACGGTAAAACATTATTAATAGCTAATTTCAGATTAGCTGCATTTACTTTTTTTAGTAATAAACCCCTAAACACACAGACATCTTTTGTATTATATTGGTAGGATGATGATAGACCAAGTATCAACAGTAGTCAGTAACAGTCTTATATACAATAAGACTGATAAGGGTTGAACTTATTACATCATCAAGTGTAGGATGTTCTTAAACAAAAAGTATTTAGTTAGGCATAATTTAATGACAATGATCATAATTTTAATAAATAGATTGACAAAGTCACTTTACAACTTGTAGAGATTTAAAGAAAATCAAAACGATTCTCACTGATTAATTAATACTTCCATCCTATCTAAATACATTGCACATATTTATCTGTTAGCTCTCTTTCCTTTTTTAGTTTGTGTAAAGCTAGTCTGGGGCAGTGGCACAGAATGTCCTGTCTTTTTCAAATGTTCAAATAATTTGTTTTTCGATGGGAAGTCTGTTTGGCATACTGCACATCTAAGATTCATAGCTGTACTGGAATCTTCGGTTTCACTTGTTTTCGTTCGTAACGGTTTCCTTTCGACAAGCTTTTTTGGCTTAACATTTCTCTGCGTTTTCGGCAGTGCTGGCTTATCCTTTGGTAGTGCTACTTCTCCCAAGGCGTCGTCAGTAGGCGTTGTACTCGAAACTTCGTATAAATTTTCCGTTGAAGTCTGTGACTGGGATCCTTTCTTGAGATTAGCTTCCTTTTTAGCCTGTATCTGGCTTTTAAGCATATTGAATTTCTTAGCCTTTCTACTGCGAGATGGACCTTCTATTTCATTAAAACTCATCTCATCATGACTATCATTGCCTTCACTCTCAGGCATTGGTATAAATGATTTCTTCTTGTTTTTCTTCTTCTTTTGACTCTTAGGTAAAGCCTATAAATTGTAATAAAGTATCTTAAAATATTTTTAATTTGAAAAGCTTTGTAATAATAATAAATATTGTATAGGCACTATTAGAAACGGGCAAATGTATATCCCTGTCAGTTCTTAATATATGTGTTAGATATATTAAGAACTGATATGATAGTGTTAGACTTAATGCAATAAGTCACTTCAAACAAAAAAATAATTACGCGTTTTATCACATCTGCGTTACTAGTTTAGTAAAAACTGAAAGCTTACTTAAAGATATCTGTATGGTCCAACTTTATTGAGTCTAATGTGAAAAGGCCAAAGAAAGAAAATAAACCAACTTACCTGAATTTTGTCAGAATCATCACTTAATGTTTCTCCAATCTCATTATCTTCAATATCTGATGTAGAATTGCCTACTAGTTCTCTCTCATCCTCAGCTTGACCATTGATTTTTTCTTCCGCTGTTTCTTCTACATTTTTCACAGATTCATCTATTTCAGCATCATCTACATCATCATCTGATATATCTACATTATCATCAAATGTCATATTAGCAACATTTTCTTTGTGTTTCTTACTGTTCTCATGATTTTCAAACGATTTGACATTTTTAAACAATTTGCTGCAAGCTGAGCAATATAAGTTTCTCATAGCTTGTTTAGATTTTGAGGAAGATTTTGCTGTTGTCCTTGATACTTCACTTGCCTGAAATTTTAGTAATGAATGAATTTTTACTTTATTTCATTGTCATTTCTTAAATGTATGTAGAAAAAATATAAGGAATCATTTCCCTCCTATGTACTTAAAAAAATCCCTGACAGCTAGGCTCATAAATGTTGCATATAAATCATAAACATGTTCAATAAGACATGGACATAGGATGAACTTGTATATTATATTCAGAGTATAGTTAATAACTGTAAATTAATATTAAATATATTAATTTGTTAATTTTAGTATATATATAATATTAATGTAATTACTGAATTTAATTTCTTAGCAGTTTCACAATTATAGTTGTATATTAATTGAATAAATAAAAAAATAAACAGACATCAAGCTATAAAAAAATATAAGAATCATAATCGAATAAAACATAATAACCTCTTCAGTCTTGGAACTCTCTTCATTGCTGCTCTCCATACCACCCTCACTAATAGTGTCATCATCTGATGACAGTCCAAATTCTTCTGCCAACAATGATTCAATTTCACTCAATTTCTTTTGATAATCCTCACTTTGTAAGAATGAGCTTTCACCTTCCTTTTTCTTTGCTTCTTCTATTTCTTTCTGTCTTTGTAAGATTCTCTCCCTTCTTACTTGTTCTGCCTATAATATAAATATTTTTCTGTTTTATAAATACAAAATTACATAAAAATAATTTTATTTTGCAATAGTTAATAAATAATAATAATAATCTCAGGGCAATTAACACTGCGCCATCTAGTCCCAATTTAAGCTAGCTAAAGTTTCTGTTATGGGTACTAGACAACCAAATGTGTTTTCTATGTGTAAAATTTTTTGTAAATACATACATATTATACATAGAAAACACCCAGACCGATACAAACAATCATAGTCATGAATACATTGTGTCTTACGATGGATCGAACCTGAGACCATTGGAAGTAAAGTCGTGAGCTAAATTGCCAGACCACAGAGGCCATCAATATATATTACCTTTTTCTTATTTTCCTCTGCTTTCTCTTGTAACAACTTAGTGTGTTCAATCACTCTCTTGTCTTTCCTACGAACAAAACTAACAAGTCTTCTGATCTCTTCATTTCTTTCCTTGCGAGCTTTCTGTCGTATTTTATTGTTTTCTTTCTCCATTAGTTTTATAACTCTTCGATTATCACCTTGTTGAATTTCATATTGATCTAGCCACACATAACCTTTGAAACATAAAAAATATAATATAATTTGGGTATACATAGTTCATTAATATATACTTGGTAGAAGGTTTTATGCCTGTTGTAAATTGCATTAAATATATTTTAAATTCTGTTACATAAAACAATACAAATTACTTAAAATAGACATTCCAAAAATATAACATTTAAATAAAAAAAAAAAAATAATAACTATTGAAGATTATACAAGAAAACCTACACGCACAACGGCCCGAATGAGAGGCCAATTGCGGAAAATGGAGTCCAACCGACATTATACAAGAAAATAAACATCATATTGTAACAAAGACATTGCTTACTTTTATTAGTAGAAAATGCCATCCAATATGCATAGAACTCATGCACATCTTCATAAGGTGTGGTGGAATTACCAAATTTGGGTATTTGGGTAACATCTTCAGGATCATCAAGAAAATCTGTTTCTTCAGAAATCAATTTGGAGAATACCTGTAAATTAGATTAATTGAAATAATGTACATAAATTTACTGTTTGATAATTACAAAGGTAAATATTTTTCATGCATTTGTGAAAATTTTGTTGTAATTAAATACCTACTTATACATATTTATTATGATTTATTATAATGAATTTGAAATAAGGAAATCAACAGCAACGTAATGTCTTTTAAATTATAACAAATAATTGAAATTACTGTATATATTTTTATGAAAATGATTTAATTTTGTTATTTGGTAAGAAATTAGAATATTTTTTTTATATAATTGTTATATATACTAAAATAAAAAAGATACCTATTGATCAATTTTAGAACAGAACTAGAAAAGAAGCATATATTTTTAATGTACCTCTGCATACACTCCATAGAACCCATTGGGGTCATCTCCAAAACCTTTGTAGCAGGACGGACTGAAGTATGGATATACATCAAGGCTGTCATCATTATATGATGAGCCTGCACCACGTAATAGCTGCTCTCTGTGATTGTCATACCTGTCATAAATATATATTAATATATATGTTACAGTAGCAACTTGCCATGCTTGGTATATTTAAATATATTATATTAATTTGACAACTTTGAGAATTTTTCATAAGATGTCGTCATCGATGCCTATTGCTTTGCTCAAGTGATTCTTTAGATGAACATCTTTACTAAATCTATTAAGTATTTTTTTAATGTCACATTACAAAATATCAAATCATTCCTCTTATAATAGACATTAGTAAATACATATAGATTCATACAATTGCTAATAATGTGAAATAGTGACTCTTTCATTGGCTTACTGCAGCTGTAGATAGGCCAAATGTATTTCAGAAACTTGTAGAGAGATTTTGTTATTATACCTCTCACACCTACTTCCGACTGCCTATATAGCCATTTTTAGTTAGTTAATTTATCAGTTTGTAATACTTATATCTTTTTATTGTCTTTATGTATATTTGTTTCCCATGGTACAATGAGTTCTATCAGTATTATATGTTACGATTTTTTAGAGAATAGGAAAATATCCCAATACATAGTACTGAGATGAGATGGGTTTGTTTTTGGAACTTACAGTTGAGCCTTCTTATATAAAGTAAACTTGTATTTTGTTTGCAGTCCATCTTTTTAGGGTTTTAGCTACTGAAAGGTTTACAAATTCACTTCCACTATAATTTGAAGATCATGGCAATATGAGTAATCAGCCCAAATGAGGAGTTACTTGCAGTTTAAAAAAAAATGTTTTTGGGCGACTAATCAACTAATAGTTATCTATTGTTGAGATGAGTAATACTTATTATACCATGCTGTCATTACTATAAAGATATATTCATAGCGAAATTTTCAAATAAAACGATATGGATTTTTTATGGAAATACTTACTAGGATCACATAGTTACATCACATTGACCTCAATAGTAAAATTTATTAAACAGGCAATTGATTAGTGTTGGAATTCTTTATTTTCATCATAATCTGAATTTATACTACTTATATTGTACTTTTTGGCATGGTACCATCGCAGAAATTGAATATTTATCCATTTTGTTAAAGCTGATAAAAATTAAAAAGAAAAAATAGTCTACCATTACTGAATATGGTATATTGATAGTTTCGTGTGGCACTCATCATACTCTAGAAGTCTAGAAAAATAAAGATATTAGGATGGTTTAGATGGATTAGAAAGACAGACATATGAATGTCTGTCTTTATGCTAAGTGAGCATAAATTCTTACCAAGCTCTCTCCTGAGGGTCAGAGAGTACTTCATAGGCGTTCTGAACTAGTTGAAACTGTTCTTTCGCCTCTTGTATGTTGTCTAAGTTTTTGTCCGGATGCCACTGCAATGCTAGGCGACGATATGCCTTCTTTATCTCGGAAGCACTTGCTTCTTTCGGTAAACTCAATACTTCGTAGTGGCACTTCATTCTAAGACATTCTATGTAAACTTTCACTATATTTCACAATGTTCACAGCCTGTTTGTTCTCTTTTTAATAATATATTAATATAATATAACCTGGATTTGATCAATATTTTTCACATACTCAGCACTATAATAAACAAAGAATATTTAATTTACAAGCTATGAGAATTAATAAAGGAACTGTAATATCATTATGGCAAAAGTTAAAACTGAAAATTATTTATCAGTATATTTTGAAGATTCTAGCGGAAAATGCACGACGTCTGTTCATGCTTCTTTATTTTTTACATTTTCGTTCAATCGGTTCAACTCGGTTATTCGGTTTTGGCCATAGAGTTTTATTTCTTTCAACAATAACCAGTATTTACGGTTTTGGCGCATTGAACTTTCGCCATCTCAGTGTGGTCATATTTAAATTATATTCCGCTAATTTAATGCTAACATTTAATGATCAGGTCACATTATCTAGTGATAAAATCGTGTTAAATATAATAAGGATATATTTACTATCTAAATTGCTAAAATTTGCTAATACCTAAATAACAGTTCCTGACATGCTAAATTAGCTTTATTGTTTTTCGATTTTATTGATCTAATAAGTCCACAACTGTCATGAAGGTACTACAGAAATTTTATAATTTAACAAAAATCATTATACATATACAATTGAAATCAAAGTCGTAACTCGGGCAAGGTATACCTATGTATTACTCAGGCCTGACTTATTAAACACTATTTAAAAAATAAGACAGGTAATAATAATATTAATATTTCTTGTAAAAAAGTTTCGTTATAAGTAGTTCTCGGTAATTTAAAGTTCATAAATGTGCACCTACTTACGTAGCTTATTAAAGTTATAAAAAATAAGACTCAATACATTATACATTGAAATATATATTTGAAATGTCAATAGAGTTATAATAATAAAATTAGACTAATGTATATAATCAAAAATATTAAAGTACAATGCATACAAGTTTCAAAATACAATATTTCCCTTTTATATTGAATGCATAGTTACCTGGTAGGTAATAGATACCTAACCAGTAGGATCTTTGTTTACTACCTTGGTACCAATCTAAAATTAATCAGGGTAGGTATGTTTGCGCTTATGATCTGAAGACTGCACGGGTTGCATGGGCACTTGGTTCTTACACTTCCAGTTTGGATTGTAAAAATCCTCTTGTTGCTGTGAAATGTAATAATAATACATACTGATATGGTAACTAAGATAGTTACCATATAAGTATGTTCAATATTTATGAATAACAATATATAGGTACATTGGCAGATAATGCAGACGTTGAGAGATTGTAGTAGTGAACGGTAGACTGTATCTACTAGTATAACAGCTTTCTTTTTGGGTGACACAGGTAATTTATAAAAAAGGTAGATTCTATAATATAAAATAAGTCACAAATTGTTTATGTTTAATATATTTAATTAACATTAAAATAGGATCAATGGTATCTATAAATTAGATATAAAGTAATTAAAATTACACAACACAAACAATCCTTAAGAAGAAACAGTTTCTTGCCGTTATAAAATCATTTAGTAGAGTCCTCCTGAAGATTTTTGAATATAATTTCCTGGTGACAATTTATTGTAACAATTTTAATGTAATACACAAAAAGACAATAAATTATGATTAAGATGATATATCCTGTGCCGACTCTAAATTATGTGACAAAGCAAGGCAATTATGTTTTTTTTCTGTAATTTTGTATTGAAGTGCAAATCCAAAGCTGGTATAAAAATTATTAATCCGTAACTCTATTTTGTTGTTTAACACTTAATGTGTAATATATAATAGATACTTTACTTGGAAATACATAAAATTCAATGAGGATTATCGTCATCTTTCAATTAATTGACCGTGTAGATTGTTCGAAGCAATAAATTATATGGCGATATATACATACCTTAGTAGACATTAGATACCTATATGCAATAAAATTGATATAAAAATTAATAAACAATTTCTATTTAATAAGTAATATAGGTACTTAATAAAAAAATGAGAAACTTACTTTAAATTGTTAAAGTTTGTCAAAAATTGTATTATGGCTATACCTATTGAACAAAATATTTCCTTTTTAACATCGATACACAAGGAGAGAAACGTCTTAGTACGTCTTCAATTTATTATGAAATCTAATAAAAACATTAAAATATAATTGTAATTAATATGCACACAGAAACACAGACGATAAAATGTAATTCATTATATACCTAATACAATAAGAAATGTTACGCATTATCAAAATAAGCACATCTAAAAGCATGTACAAAATACATGCTTACCACCTCATTATCGTCATTAAGGTACTGGTGAGAACTTGGTGGCGCTGGGACTCGAGAGGATGATGCTGGGGTCGGGGACTGTTTGGGTTCCACTTGGGGCTCGGACCATTCCTCGTATAGGTCTGTCCGTGGCCCCACTTCACTCTCTAGACAGGTACGGCAATTTTCTATTATCCATTTCTGCTCAAGAACAGATGGTGACCTGGGTGCCATTAATATTTTAACAATATATCTACTATATCAATCAGTCCTATATTACAGTATACTAAATCAGTTTGGTCTTTCATATAACGATAATAACTTTTGTAAACTATTTCCAATGATATATATAGTTATTTCAATAGTGATGTTTAATTATCAGTAATAATCAATTAATAGTAAATGAGAATATTTAAAAATGTAGGTGGGTAAAATGAAATGCAAAAATCATAGGTTCTTTTATTATGCATTAGGACAATTTTTTTATATTTATAAAAATTGTAATGGTTCGTACTTACTACACCTGTAAGCAATATACCTATATAGTTTAAGAAAATGTAATTAGTTAAATTTAATATGTACTACGTTATACAAAATATCTAGTTATGCTATGCTATTATAAGCACTAAAAATATTTTTTTATACAAAGAAACTATTTTAAATGTAGTATGCCTAGTATTAGACTATCAAAATTATTATGAAGTGATAAATTTTATATTTTTTACAATAATTATGTGATGTAAAGTTTGCAGGGTAATTCTTAAAGGGAAGAGGGGGGATTAGTACAAATGGAACCTAGTAAACCAATAGTTAACAATGAGCCTGTTTCTCACGAACACCCTTATAAATCGCGTTGGTTATTTTTTGTGAATCTACCACGATGGTTTAATGAGCCTGAAATCAGGTCAGATTTCATGCTCATTCTATAATCTACAATGGTGTCTCGCTAGCACATATCTACTGTTAGCACAGTAAAGTGCACAATTCCATTATCATTCATTAAAAAAACTGAGTACATGTTTGCGATATAAAAAGTGCTATAGAACAGTATTAGATTACAAACAGAGGCGTGGTGGAAGGGTGAAGGCAATCGGAAAGCCAATTAACACGGCAATTACGGGGAGTTTTGACGGCCCACTAATTAAATCCACTCGGGCAATGAATGTACTGTTTTATGGGCATGAGATTTTTGTGGTATTTATTTATGTTAGCAGGTATTATTCCCAGATATCTTTTAAATATTTACAAGTCATATATCAATATTTACAGATGCATTACAAATCTTTGAATTTTTCGACTTGTTCTATATTATAACAGGCATGTATTATACATATAAACAATTCTCTTGAATCACTCTATGGGTGCATTAAAAGCCGTTGCGTAATTTAAAAGATATAAGCGAACAGATAGCGGTGGCCACTTTGTTTTATACTATATAAAAAATTTCTTCATCCTACAATAATTATGTTGTATCAAGGTTGGATTCAGATTTATTCTAGTTTTCACGTTTTGAATTTTTGAATTTTGAAATAATTGTTTGCAAGATTACATTTATCTGTGCAATTTTCATATCAGATTTTAAGACATTAAAATTTTTGCTAATACCTATTTTTTAATTTAATTGTAATGGACAAAAGATGACAACGCCGCTGAGAGTTAGTTTACCACTAATCCTCATCAAAATCATATAAAAGCACAGCACAGCATATTCAGTAACTTCACTGCTTTTCTCATGTTGAATCTGGATATCAGCTTACAAAGCAAGCTGCTTAGCAACTGGAATATGTGAGATTGAGGTATCAATGCAGTTGATTTTTTAAGTAATTATTAAATTTATTGTTTTACTAGTTGACTCCGTGAACTCCGTTACGCCTTAAAATTAAATTGACATATTTAATTTTTAAGGGTTTTTGAAGTTTAGTTATGCAATAAATTTCTGAACGCAGGGTGCGTTTGACAGGTATCAGCAGTTCGTATGGGAAAATAAAATTGTTGTCTTTACTATTTTACCCTTAATATTTTATCTCCGTTTAAAACTTCCCTGGAATTCCACGAATATTTTAAGACTAAAATTAGCCAAATGGATTCATACGTTCTGCAGTTTTAGCGAGACTAACAAACAGCAATTCATTTTTATATTTATATTTTGAAGATGTCAACTTAGAATACAGTTAATAATTTTATTATTAACTCTATTCTAACCCCTAACAACAATATAAACATACCTAACTTTGGATTTACATTTGGTTGACCTAATAAATCAAAATAAGTAGGATAGGAACCTATAAACACGTCGTCTTTCTACTAGCATTAATAATTCCGTAGTTTCGCCAACTAGGCTGACAGGTCACCGTGATGTACAAGGAAGACCTTGCTAAAATATTCAGCAACCTTTGAATAAGCAATTAATTTGTAATCTCTATTAGTTACATTATTCATTTAAATATTATGATAACAAGAAAGTTTTTAACGATTTAATTTGAAATGTAATACAAATAATCGTGTAATCCAATAATAATCACATTTAGTATGTTTTAACATATTTTATTCTAAGGAATAAGAAGGATTGTTAGTAACGTGGACTGCGGACCTCATTGCTAGCAATGTTTCACATCAGGTTTACCTCAGAAATAGAAATAGAAAATCATTTATTCCAATAAACTTACATTGAAGCACTTTTGAATTGTCATTACATTTTTTTAATCTACCGCTCATTCGGAAAGCTGTCTCATCACAAAAAGAATGAGCAAGAAACTTGCGTGTTGCTCTTTTAAATAATTTTATTATTACTTTACATTTTTAAGTTTAAGTGTGTGAATACAAACCACAAATTAGCACTAATTCAATCACGTCCTAATCCTAATCCTCTACGTGGTTCTCCAGGAAACCATCAATAATACTACTTTTATTTTAGTTTTTCTATTCTAGTAATGTATAGGTTAGATGGTAACTTAAAACTGTAATTTACCTGACAATAGCAGTAATTTCATCAGCTTTGTAGATTGTTTTAGTTTTGGGATCGTAAAAACCGTCTCCTGTATCATAATATCCTGGTGGTATCTTCCTAGTAGGCTGATCAGCGGTCAAATAAGACTGACCGGCCGGTTGTAACCCTCTCTCATATTCTATTGTAAACCTGTAATGATATTGATAAATAAATAAACACCGAACAGAAGAAAGTATTTTGTGAATCATATAAATTTTGGCCAGGTGCCAAATCGCGTCGTACGCAGTACCTTCGTATCTTCGTTATTATATTTATGCATCTTATATTATATTATTTAAAAAATATATGATATATACGAACCTATACATAAGCAATAGGTATGTATTTCTAACTAATTCTGCACAGCACTGAAATAAAAATGTCTTATTGCTGATCCATACTAATATTACAAATCCAAGTGTATCTGTTTGTTTCATATCTTTTCAAGACTAAACAGCTGAACGGATCGCAATGAAATTAGCAATGAATATACATTGTATCCTGAGTATGCACATAGGTTATCATTTATCAAAACAACAGACGAAGTCGTTGGTATTAGCTAGTTCATGGTATAATGTATTTTTTGTATAAATCATCTTTTTACAGGTACGACTTTAGATCAGATTATGTTGCTGACTAAAACTTCCAGATCGTACTTAAGTAATACAAACGGGCAAAAAGAACGATTAGTGGGGCGGCAAGGAAATTTGCTAAATGTTTTGTGGGGCGTAACAATTCATACCTGTCTATTTTTCGCGAACAAGCAGAATAGCGAGTAATTCTTGAGGAAGCCGCGTTTACCTTACAAATGAATGTTTAGCGAGAAAAAGTGGTGATTTAACAGCATCTCTCCTCATATTTCTGCACCTGTGTTCGGTCTTTGTTTAGGGTCGTTTAGATATTAGGTGTATATATAATATTAAACAATACAGAATACATAGCATTTTATGTAATACCATGCGCATAAGGTGGAAAAGCTCTAAGATGAGTGTTTAATATTTTTTGTTCTAATATACGAAAAGATATATATATATATATATATATATATTAATATACGTAGGTATATTATTTATTATTTTAAACTAAGAATTCACATGGTTTTTCTTATACACTTTCATATCAAGAAAACGTGTGTAATACTTATTAAACAATAGATACGTCTTTGCATTTCCTAAGTTACTATTTCAGTCATAAACAACTATTTCATTTTAAGTAAGAATATTGTCATCGCATTTCTTGTTATAGGTGGATAAGCTCATCACGTATTTTATTTACAGTCCTAATATATACAAGAGAATATTATGGGTACTTGGTATTTCAAGGAAAAAAAGTAATATCCATTAGTTATATTATGTTTGCGTATTCAAGCGTTTTGTTTATTTTATTCAAATTATATTGTTATTTAAACAATCCTTCAGTTTCGAAAAGTAATGAAACATACAAAAGATTTTATGTCTGTAAGCTTATTACAAGGTATCTATCTATACATATCACAATAAAACGCCTCTAATCCGGTCAACTTAAGATTTTTATTTTATGAATAGACAGTACTTTGAACATATAATAAGATTAATATAGGACAAAAGAGGACATACTGCGTCGACCCCATATAATAGGATAAAGGCAAGGCCATGAAGATGATACTGTAACCTATACGATATTTAAGATCACAATATATCTATGTTGGAAAAATATTTAATTTTATCATGTGTTTTTATTTTCAGCTTTCCCTTGAAATATTATATGTATATTGAATATGTTTTTTCACAATACTGAGACATTAATAATATTTATTGTCTATGGTAATTATATAAGCGATTTACTCTAAACAAATGAATACCATATCCTCTCATCCGTACAAGCATTTACTTCATCATCACCAAATATCATAGGATAGAAAAAATAGGGCACGGTAATATGAAGCACACATAAATATGTACATATATATTTTGAAAGCGGTACCACCGGACCCCTGTAATATATAAGGTTGTAAGGTTGACTTTATTAAAATTTCATGCAGTACTACTGTCGTACAATACAATACCTATACAGTACCTCTATGCCGAGGGTTCGCTATTACGTATTCATAATTAGAGTTCGGTGGCAACGTAAGTGCCTATTTATGAAATGTTCATTACGTTGCTTACCATTCCAATTATGTATGAGCCCTAATTGATGTAATTTCTGCTTAGAATCTTATTAAAAAATGACTAAAAGTAACAGGCAGGTATTATATTGTAGAGAAAGGGTTGTTAGTAATAGTTAGCTTTAGCAATTGGCCATAATGTAATTATTATTATCATAATTTTTTTTTTATAGCACTGAGTACAAATAAGCCTGCGGTTTCTGGTGGTAAGTGATAACAGCCGCCCATGAGGATGCTCATGGCACCACCAGGGGAATTGCTAATGCGTTGCCGGCCTTTTAAGAAGGAATAAGATCTTTTCTTGAAAGTTTCAATATCGTATCGATTCAGAATACTATAGCTGGAAGCAATTTTTATTTTTTAATTTATTTACACAATTTTGTAATAATTATATATTAAGTACTAGTAATATTGTAAATAATTATTATCAGCTATTACCAATTTACGTTTGAAACGACCTCTTCATGTTATTAAAATCCGCTTAGCCGTTTAATCGTGAAAAGTGACTATCACATTTATAATATTAGTACATATGTGTATTGATTTGAACTTTGAAATTATAATAAAAAATTAAAGTTTTGCTATTAAAAATTAGGGGTTGATATTAGTACGGTGAAAATTTAGGGTTATATGTATTTATAAATGTAGAATTATAGAACATTAAAATAAAAAAATAGTTCCAAAAATAAACAAAATATTTTTTTGTGTAGACCACCCCTATTCACTTAGGATTATAAAAAATAGACAACAACCTATTTTAAGATCTAGCGCATATACATATAAAATTTCATTAAAATCAGTTAAGTCGTAAGAGAAGTATCGCAACTCACACAATGTGACACGAGATTTTCATATAAAGATTAGATTGTAAAACTCTGTATATTTGAATAATATATATATCAAAAGCACGCGGCAATGAAGTTGTACGAAATAGGTACGAGTAGGTACAATAATAATTCGGCTTGCAGTACGAAGCTGACATTAGTCCGTTACTGTATTTTAATCTCATTTCAAATTCAATTCCGGGAACGGTCAGCCACCGTTATTACCGGTAGGTCCTTTTGGGAACAGATTTTAACTAAAATAATGCAAAGCGGTAGGGTTGTACCAATGTTTTTCTTTAATTTATTGTCATGTTTTTTTTTCTTTTAGGAATGAGATTGGGTGCTTGTGTTCAGTGTTGGATGAAAGTAGCTTTTAAACCACATATCTAATATATATTAGCCTACCTATTAATAATGTAAGGATATATCGCTGATTAAATGCCAAAGGGACACATGACGAAAACGGAAAATATTACAGGAGAGCTCATGAAAATTTTCACTGTTATATATTTACTTTTTTTTACAAATCTATAAGTGTTATATCTATATGTTAGCTCTAGAATCATGAGTGTCTTTTTTTAATATATAAATTATAACGATTTAGATATCATTTAAAAAAAATAGTTTCAGTTTTTTTTGCGATGTTTTTGTGTTTTGGCATTTAATCAGCGATATGTGGCTTCAAAAGCTACATATTATCTACGTATTTACTAGTGATGTTTTTGTGTGACAGCCTACGTCGTTCGCCATGTAACTTAATATCAATTTCAATCAAGTCTGTCCAGTCATTTACTCATGCAAAATAATGCAATAACAATAAGATAGACTAACATACACACTTGTACATATAGAATATTACTATGGATTATCTATGACTACATATTCTGTGAAAAATTTATTCTAATTACTCTAGCCATTTTTACAAGAAACCTTAACTCACGTACAGATAAATGGACAAACAGTGAGTCTTGCCTCGCCTTTATTTTTTTAGTCTATTAAATGTAAAAAAATATGTATTAACATGTCAACCCTACCTACTGTACTGGTTTCATTTAGAAGTACCAGCAAAGTCAAGAGTACAAAAATATGCTCTTATTTACAGAGGACACGATTCCGGTTGTAAAATAATGTTGTACAAATTATAGTCATTAAGGCATTTAGGGTTCCGTCTGGTTAACTACTCACGATCAAGATTAAGTTGAAAGTTTCTCTTAGAAAAATGTTCTTCGAAATGAACTATATTCCAGTATTATATGGATGACAAAGAATTTGTTTCAAACAAATATTACAATATGGTTTTCATATGATTATTTCAGGCATTAACAGTTTTCATTACGTAATTCACTATTGACCATACGCGGTTGAGATACACTTAATTGGTGTGTTTGTGTTGAATTAAAATGCTATCAATTCATTTATTTACTAATTTCACTTACCAAAGTAGATTTTATAAAAAGTTATCTGCATGTATCTCTGTCTACCTTTTTCAGTCGCTAATCAGTTTGCTTTGAAATTGCAAGATAAAAGTCATCTTAGTTCTCCTGAATAGTAGAACAATAAGTGTATCCCGAGCGTCACATGACAACAAGATATTCATAGCGCTGATCAAATATAAATATATATAGATCAATATATATATATATATATATATATATATATATATATATATATATATATATGTAAGGTGACGGATACCATTAACTTACCTGACGGTTGTCGGCTATTTCAACGACGAAAAATATAATACATAATTACTAAGTACATTATATTTAGTTAATAAATAATAAAGATTTAATATTTTAGATTGTCTAAAATATTTAAATGATTTAGAAGTATAAGAATATTATTAAGTAAGTTTATTTTGTACGGAACTCTTAATGTTTGAGTTTTATTTGAACTTTTTATTTATACTTGTCTTACACAGATTTTTTAGCCTACTAAATGTTTTAAATCTTGACAGATTTATTTATTTATGAACTCTATTACGCGAGATGTACATATATTACACAGTTGAATGACTTTATATTATGATAAGCAAGTTGACGATCGAATACATTTTTTTCCAGATGGCATTACAAACTCGCGGAAGGACATACAGAGCGGCTGAGGCTCAACCTCCGCGTGAAGGATAAAAAAATTAAACTATTAAGTGTTACTGTATGACTTTACCTTCTATCAGGCATTTGACAGTATTTCCAGTCTGTATCACTATATTGGAGGCCATCTGCAAATATGAGCGTCCTCTCCACCATTTCTCCTTTGTACCATTTGCCTTTCAAAATGACTCCACTTGGGTACCGTAGTTCCCCAACGCCGTGGAACATACCGTCGCTGAATTCCCCTTCATATATGACACCTTAAAAGAAACAAATGAATGAAAACTGGTATATATGTATAGGCTATATTTGTAAAGAAATGGTCGAATATAAACAACTCAGTTTGACAAAAAAATATAAAAAAAAAATGTTTCTGCCGTAGGAGGAATCAAACCTGGGATGAATTTTGTTTTTTATTTTAAATGCGCTTAATTTAAACTCTAACATGTAGCTACGATTTATTCTTATGATTAGGATATTGAATATTGTGCAGTGTTGGATACATGTAACCTCTATGTACCTATATAGTTGCTTGAGATGTCTATTCATATAACTAATCCATCACACTCGATTAGGTAATCTAGTAGCCTAGAGCTAGTAATTAGAAATTTTGTGTCTATGGACGTAACAGATTCGGGTATATAAAACCACATTCAGCGAGTAGTGTAATAAGTACATATGTTTGCTACTTATACCTACACTTAATAATTTCCAACTCAATCGATCTGCATATAAATAAAGGAAATTTATAATAAAGAAAAGTATAGAATTTTATGGTATCACCGATACATATTCGTTTTATATCAAAGAAAAAGTATTTTATTACACTTGGGAGAAGAGAAGAAAGGCTGGTAGATCGCATCGACAGGTTCAGTCGTAATGGGTATCTGAGCCTTAATCTCTCTAAGGACTGAAAGATTTTGTAACAAATCAATTCATTATTATTATTTCAACTTAATCGTTATCGACTTCTGAACATTTACATAATTACAACTTCAATGTAACAATAGGAATGTAGGATTCTTTAAAAATTACTCCAATGAAAAATAATTATCATACAAATTATTTATACTCATGTAAATATATTATGGTGTGGAAAGTTATAGCATTACTATAATAATGGATCTCACATTATTAAAATAAAGCATACTTTATAGGACTTTAGCTTTAAAAATGATTATACATAAACCCTTTATATATTGTGACTTTATTCGAATCAATAGGAAATTAATTATAATTTGTATAGTAATATTCTATTCAATCCAAATATTAGAAAGTTTCGACGAATATGTAACCAAACAAACATATTTCATACAAAAGAAACATAATCTAACCGTTAGGAAACGTATATATTCCCACTCCGCTCATTCCCAATACGTCCCAAGTGCCTTCGTATTGTGATCCAGTGGGAAACTGCTTGATCGACCGTGGGACCCGAGGTATGTCCACTGACACTGTTCTGGCAACAAGAACATAATTTGTGATTTACGACTTTAATACTATGCCTCACGAAATCAAATAACGTGATATTTATAGATATAGGTCAAGTTTATGGATGGTTGGATTTTATATTTTTTTTAAATTACGGTAATTTTATGTGTTGTTAGAAAAGGTGTCTTGTAACTGTACAGAAGCAAAGTACTAGATCGTTTACGTTTACCTCCTTGATTAATTAAGTGGATACTTTATCTATTTTTCTATTGTAATTATTTATAAATTAATATTATTAATATTATAAATGCGAAAATTTGTAAGTATCGATTTTTCAGGCATAACTCCTGAACGGATTTTAATGAAACTTTACAGTAATATAGCTTATGCATCAAAATAAGACAGGCTATATATTTTTTATTGAAAATAAAGAAATTTAACGGGCACCGCTTGTAATATTATAAACGCGAAAGTTTGTGAGTATGGATGGATCTTTGTTCACGCAAAATCTACTGAACGAATTTTGATGAAACTTTACAGTAATATAGCTTATATATCAGAATAATATATAGGCTATAAATTACGTATTGTAATAGGAAATATTTACACTTCTAATGCACTTATTACCGAGTTAGAAGTCCTTATTTTGTTAAAATATTGTAGATTTATTACTTAAATACTATAAATAAATTGCTCATGTGTTTTAATAATACTTAGTAACTGTCATGACAGCAGATCATGAGAAAATCAATTTCCATATATGGGTACTAACTTGCATTTTTCTTTGTGAGCTTCTGAAAACTTCCTCATCAGTGCTTCCCACTGCGACACACGTTTCTCCGAGAACCTAATGGAATGAAAATGGTTAGTGGATATAGTTTTTTAATAAAATTTATTATAAGGCATTGACGATTTCAGTGGTCAATATATCTATGTTTTTAAGAATATTTGCACAGTTGTTTCACCTTTGTGATAGAGTTTACGAGTTAAGTTTAGTATTGTATATTCTTTGCTTCTGTACAAATAACTCAGTATATTGGGGCAAAATATATATATTTAAATTATCTGTATTAGCAAACAATCCCACTCAATGGTATGCATTGCAATTCCAATGGTCTAAGATGCCATGCTTCCATGTCTGTCTTATCTCACCGTTCAAAAGATACACAGCTTACAAAGCAAGCTACTTGGAGCTTGAAATATAAGAATTCTGTAGTAATTGTAGTAATAAATTTTAAAGTAAGTAATAAATTTGTTATCTTCCAACTTTTTTACTTCTTTTAAACAGAGTTCCGGCATGTAATTGTCGTTATCGTGTGAAATTATTAATAAGTAATATGGTGAATAAATAAGTATGCAATTAGTGTCGTATGCATGTATTTATTCACTAAGGTAATTATCAAGATAAGAAAAACGGAACATTTTACAATATCATAGCTATATCTTTTTAAAATTTATTAAGAAAATGTCATTTCACTAAATATTGTATTGGATTTAATTTAAATTATATTAACATAAAAAAGTAATGTTTGGAGATGAGTTTATGTAAATAATAGTTATAGATTCTTCCAATCATTCGAAGATAATATAGTATTTTTAGAAGTACGGTAGTTCTAGTATTTGCTTTAATATGTGTTGGAGATTAAAACCTCCTTGTTAATACTTTTTTAAAGCCATATATTTTTAAATGTTCCTGTCACTGTTCTTCTTTTGTTTTTCCATTGCATTTGATCTTTTCATAATATACGGAAGCAAATTATTTTAATTTATTCACAATTACCTAGTTTTATTACAATCACCATAATAACCAACTGAGTAATCCATAATACTCCCCAACAATATGTGTGTACAAACAAAAACAAAGTTTACTTATTTATGTAATGTGCATACAAAATCGGCAAATACAATACTTATTTGATCCCAGGTAAATCAAAAACCTCAACACATAAGTAATCCTATTAAAATATAGCCTTACTTGTCATAGGATCAAAGGAAATGTTTAAATCCTATTCTACAGAGTTCTTATTTGTATTAATGAAACAACAGAACTTACACAGAGTTATCTTGCGATTTCTGCTGTGACATTGTTGCAACTCGTAACCTCACCAAGTTGCCAGTACTTCGGCTGTAACAAAAGTTTTATCTCGGTATATCACAATATATTTAGGTATTCGAGCTAACGAGCTAAGTTTATTGTAAGTCATCTAATTAACAACTTCTGAACTATATTCAGACTAAGTAAAGCAATTTTTTCAGTGTAATGCTAAAAGACGACTAACAGCATTTTTCAAATACTTAATGGCCTTGATAAAGTATTTTTGTTCTATTTATGGTATGGGTTCAAGAGAGTCATTACGTCAGTGTTTTAAAGATTCAAATATCCTCACCGTTACTTCACAATACATTTATGAGAATATCATGTATACACGGAAGAATTTAGACAGTTTTAGAAAACTTAAAGACTGTACAAATAGAAACTTACGCAATAAAAATAAGCTAATTTTACCTAAATGCCGCCTGCACAAAGTCAGTAATTCATTCTATGGTAATTGCGTAAGATTTTATAATAAACTGCCAGAATCTGCACTAAATCTGACAGAGAGGCAATTCAAATCTTATATTAAACAATTTTTGTGTAAGAAAGCCTATTACAGGATAGACGAATTCATAGACGACAACATATCAAGTAAATAACTAGTTTATTAGCATACAACGTTATAATTTAATTTTCTCATTGCTTTCTTGATTTAATTGATTGATTTTAGAAATATGAAAGCGTAGCGGTTTTAGTATTGATTGCCGCATGCATTCTTATGTAAAATGTGAATACTATAACTATCAGATAGCAATTGTAAGTAGCTTTGACGTAGTCTAGTGTTTTGAGTAGTCATGCTCACTAAAATGTCCAGACTTGTGGCGGCGTGGTGGGCCGGGTCATTGGGCTCCCTAAAATATGGTCGAGCGCAGTGATGGCTGGCTCATCCGTCATACTCGTGAACGGGTGCTGCTTGTAGGGACTGGTCTGCTCTAATCACTATGACTGATTTCCTCTTATTAATTGTTTAACCAGTTGGTTATATATTCAATATTATTTCTATTTGAGTATTTAATAGAATTAGTGCTAATTGGTGGTTTGTATTCACACACTTAAACTTAAAAATGTAAAGTAATAATAAATTATTTAAAAGAGCAACACGCAAGTTTCTTGCTCGTTCTTCTTGTGATGAGACAGCTTTCCGAACGAGTGGTAGATTAAAAAATGTAATGACTATTCAAAAGTGCTTAAATGTAAGTTTATTTGAATAAATGATTTCTATTCTATTCTACTGTACGTAGAGTATTGGATATATTCTTTTTAAATTGTATTAAAATCTTCTTGCTGCTTTTGTTCAATTGTACTTAAGGTTATTTTCAGATTGTTCTAGGTTTTGATTTGTTTTAGATTTTCTATTTCTGCTTTTACCTTGTTCTAATTTTTATTCTGTTGTATCTCCATTGTATTATAAACCTTTTTCAGATCCAGATCTAGATTTAGATCATAATTTTAGTCTTTACTAGTTTTTAATATTATGCCTTGCATTATTCTAACTTTAGATTACAAGTATTGCCGGTCAGAGTCGATAAAAACTATTTTAATATTTATGTAGCAGTTAAGACTCCAATAACAAATACGAAATAATTACACACTTCTTGTCATGTTTCAATGTCATGTGTTTTCTATTTTTAATTTTGACTGCACAATTATTAGGTACATTAATTTATTATAAATTTGTAAGTAAAATAAATTTTGATGATATTTAATCACTATCACTTTTGAATAATACTAAGATTAGATATGGCCAAGTCAAACAAAAGGAAGATCAAGGGAAACCTATAAGAGAAACGGTCTCCATTGTATCCATAGTTTAGTATTCAATGTGATTACACGGTCATGGTCAAACACGCCGCTGTATGCATTATTTATAAACGAAAGAGTGAAACTTTGTGGATATGTCACGACAATGCGTTTATTGCACTTAAAACTTATGTACCAGTTCCGGCCTATTGATTTGTAGGCTTTTTATATCGTATATCGGATGGTTACTCGATTAGAATAACAATTTTCATTTCATTGCCCTTTTTTATGTTTTATGTAAATAAATGATAATTGTTCTGTAATTGCGAATGTGATTGGAAATTATATCAGTCTTAACGTTTCTATATCTTTTTACTAGTGGTGCCGGAGACAGCAATAGTGTATGCGTATTTATTTAATGAATAAATTACTATAATTGTAGGAAGACATTGAATTGAAGAAGATTTTGTCTCCCTCATAGGGGTTTTTTGTCTGTAGCTCATATGCTGTGAAAATTTTATCACAAGACATAGTCGTTTTTACGTGATACCTTAACAAAATGGTGGAATTGACCACTGTAGTTAATTCCAGATCAATTCACCGCGATGGCTTAACTTTACCAGCAATATGAGCCATTAAAAAAAACCTTCACGTAAAGTTTTCACTTCGTCTGATTTTAGGTCAGAGTTTATAAGTATACAAAAAGATTATATATAAAACAATATAACTAGGTGTAATGTGTATTATATACTGGCTATTGTCCAAGACTTCGTTCTCGTGTAATTACTTTCATGACCTGGATTTTTCATCCCCGTTGGGACATCGTGGGAAAATGTCGGTAATGTATCGGGGAAATGTTGGTAAACTCCTGAGGATTAAGTAGCTTTAGATACGTCTTGTACAACAGATTGCACAGTATAAGTAAATAGCTATTTATTTTTATTATTCTATCATATATATAAAGGGGGTGGTATATCGACGCTATTATTTATGTAGGTATTAAATTAATATTAAGATTTCCGTTATATTTAGTTCATACTGTTCATATGATTGGTTGGTACATGGTTCATTACAAAATATAGAAATGATTATTCTGAAATGCTAACAGAAAACAAATAATGAATTCAAATACTCTACTTTCGTATTTAGTAACATAAAAAGAAAATTTTAAGTAATGTACTGATAGACAAAACAATACGCACAAAATCACATGACACTTTTTAGTTTATAGATGAAAAAAAATAAACAGAAGGACGAAATAACAATAAATATGTAGATCCTTCATCGTAGCTTAGCTATATATGTACATATAATATAAATAGAAACACATGATTATAATACTGTTATTATTTTAATTTAAAAAAATTTTGACATATAATAACAATATTTCCTGTTATTCTCCGATTGATTTGATGTAATATTTATTCTAATGAACGCATTTCACGAAGTTGAAGATAAAGCAAGTAATTATGAATTCAGTGGCTTTATATAAATCTTAAAGCTCGAAAGTAAATCTTAACTCAAAAGTTTTGGGTTTCACCAACATAAGATGGAGAAATTTTTCAAACTAAAGTTGATGTACCACCTTGTAAACGTTTAATGTATTGTAATACTATTATATAGTAACAATTGGAAATATACAATAATTAATTTTGATATTTACAGTCCGATAAATTTGTTCGTTATTTCATGAATCAAATAATATATGGCCTAGGTCTAACATGCATTATATATTACAGAAAATATCGAGAGCGATACAAACAATCATTCACTCATTCACATGAATACAAATATTTGCACTGTGCGAGGAATTCAATTCGTAACCATCAGAATTAAGTACCAGCGACACCACACATAATACACATAATGTCTATGTATGCGAAAGTATATTGAGTAAAAATACATTACAGAATCTACATTCACATTATTCAAATTCCTTGCGAAGGATTTATGCAAAAGCTAGCATTAAACATATTTCTCGAAAGTTCTGATTCGACAAGCGTCCCGGGGCAAATTAAACGCAACCATAAGATTTTGCGAGCGAAAACGTTTTCCATGGAGAAATCAGCCATGCGATACTGTGCAGTATTTGGACAAAGACTCCTTGTTATTCAACGAATTTCCACTGCTTTAATCTTGGATGAGTACTAAGTTCCTACTCATTATGCGCTTGAATAAGAGCTTGGAAATTTTTCTTTTTTGTAGTTCATTTGAAATTGCATAGGGTTGCTTTTAGAATTCTTTGATCTCTAGCTTATTAAGCTACCCACCATCCTTAAGAATAGCAACAATAGTTTTATAAGAAATGTGAGCATGTCAAATGTTTTATAACTACCTATTAGTAATTCTGTTAAAGAAATAAATTAAACTCAGTAATAGTTTTGGCTCAACAAAATATTGTGATAGATAATAATGTGTAATAGGCATAGCTTCCGACAGAGTCTGCGGTCTAGTTGTTTAGCACACCGCCTTATTTCCGTTGGCTTCAATTCCTCGCATGATACATGTTTCCATCAATCCATGAGTTTGAGTGTTTCTATTAGTTTATGTATTCTCTACGTATATTATGTATTTACAAAAAGTAAATGTATATATGTATATAAGTTTTCTTAGGTACCCAAACAACTGCATGAACAATAGAAGAACACAAGTTCTGATTAGCTTGTGACTAGATCCGTCCAGGTTTATTATTATTATTCTAATAGTGAATATGATTATTATCATAAATGTCACATCTTTAGATGATTCACATAGTATACCTCGTACGTACATACATACACATACGTACCTCTATTAGTTACCCTACCCTATATTATTGTTATATATACTAGTAGTTTTTTAGAATAGATGTAGTATTAATATGTTTGTCATATAACTTGAAAGCTAAGGTTACATAAGGAAATTATGTCTATATATAGAAGATGATTGGAATGTTCCGAACCTGTGTTCTTGATTCAATGCATAAGTAGTTTAGAAATTCCGCACTTCT